AGGTCGCTTTTATATTTGATATTCTTATCGCGCACCCCAAACCAAGAAAGATCGAATATTTGATCGTCAAAAGGTGTGCGCGCGAATTCTGATTGAACTATACAGCGTATATTATATAAGGTGTCGAATTCCCTGGCGAACGTTCGAGCGGATAGTCTTCAATACTTTGGTATTTTTTATTATTATTATAATAAATAGTACTATAGAAATTTTTCCGGTGAAATTTAAATCCCGTCTCTCGTTTTCTGCGAACAAATAACTGAAAAATATGTACAAGGACAACAAGTACCCATTATTATTATTATTATTATTATTATTATTATTAAAGCAATACAAATTCACTGAAAAAAAATGTTTTCATACGTTATATTATATACAGTATGAATGTTTAAAAGATAAACACTATCCATTTTCTTGAAAAGTTTCAACTTTTTTGGAAAAAATTCTTTTAGATAATATTATGAAGATATTATAAAAAACAAAATTTAAAAAAAAATTACATACATTACTTTTTTTATTGTTATCGTTTTTTAGTTTCTTTTACTCTTTTGAATGACAATATATAATTTGTATTTTCATATTCGAGAACATAATGTTTTTGTGAAAATGTCAGTTCATAAAATATATTATATTTTATACGAATAGATAATTAGTTATATTTATACCTTATAAATTATGAGTAATTAAAGTTTAGTTGACGTGGTAGTGGGCGTAGTGACTGTAGGGGACTGCCATTTTATGGGGTACCCCGGTGGTTGCGCTACGATCAACTGCTGTACCTACTTTAAATATTTATAAGTCTTAACCGATGAACAACAGATTTTCACACATTGGAATTCGCAGAATAATATTATATATATATATGTGTATATTGTATACATATAAATTAAATAATTAATATATTCAAAATAAATATTAATTTAACATGAAAACCTTATAGCTATTTAATTACTATCTATAAAAATGGCGATTTAAAAAATAAATTTCTTGTCTTCGGGTCAGATAGAATGTTTCCAAGAGACGTCATTTTGGTACCCCGGCACTATATCAAAATATTATAATATAGGTAGTATATAAATGTATGATATTATTATGGACGGCATATAAATCGATTTCCAATTTTGTAGCGTTTGCATCGCCTAGGTGAGAGCTATTATTATAGTATTACAGCGACAATCCTCTCGACCGGACAGACATCGGAAGTGTTGTTCGCACCCGAAATGTGTTCGACTTATAGCAGTCTGTATATTATAATATGCTCGTCACGTATAGTACCTCCACACCGTAAACTAATCTCAGTCTGTTTCCTAAATATTATAGTCCTTCGCTGCCGTAGTCAACAACCGATTTCGTCGCTTCGAATCGTGACGAAAACGTAGTAGCGGTCATCCCTCATAATGTTGTAGCTACTTGTATAATATATATACAACTGATACATACTGAGTGTAACAGATAGAACTGACTTTTGGAATACATTTTGTTCTAATCAATATTTTACGTTTTTTATTTTATAGGCCATATAATTTATAATCACTTGCGCTACACATATATTAGGTATATACAAAAAATTTAAATTTGATTTACATTTTTTTGGATGTATTCAAAATAACCAATTTGTGAATCTGATTATAAGAACAATTATTTTGATAGTAGAAACATTTATGTCTAAGTCAAGTGGTTTATTTTTTAGAATTTTTTTAAATATCAATATTTGTTTGATTAACTACATTTGGAACGTAATAACTTTTTTCAAAATATTTTTTTGGAAATTTGCTGACATGAGTATATTTCTTGAATTAATAACTAATCATAGAATTTTAACAATTTTTGTCATACGTTTAAGTAGCATCATTTTTTTTTCATCAGGTCTTTCCGTACGCATTGTATATGAATGATATTGTATGCGTTTATACAACAAAACGATTTTTAACACTTTTCTTAAGTTTGGTTACACGTCTGTCTGTGATCAAATCTTGCGCGCTCGATTTGAGGCACTTTTTGAAGATGAAAAATTCTGAAAATTTGTATAGACCTTGGTCTTGGATGACAATACAATAATCCGTAAAAAAATTTTTTTTAACTAAAAAGTAGAAAATAAAAAATTAAAAAATTATTTTTAAAAAACACCCTTTTCTAAAAAAACAAAAAAATAATGAAAAATTTAAAAGTGTGTGGCGCTCTTAAACTTGACATATTATACCACACACTTTTAAATTTTTCATTATTTTTTTGTTTTTTTAGAAAAGGGTGTTTTTTAAAAATAATTTTTTATTAATAGATTCGTAGAGCAGAAAAATCAAAAGTAACGCTGAAAAAAAACAAGTGACTGTGTCACAATAGTGTTAATGTTTGCCTTTTTTCGGACTGGAAGCTATATATATATACATACGATCATCATCATCATCATCATCATCATTATTATTATTTATTTTAACTACAACGTACGACGACGATAAAATCGTATTTGCGGTCGCGCCCGACGCAGTGGCGTATGCCTTCGGAATACAGAGCAGAGTATTATTTATATATATATATATATATATATATATATGATATTAAGACGTAGTCGTGAGTACATTTTTCTCTCCAGTTTTCATTTTCTTAATAACCGTTTAGTCGCTGGGGAATAGGAGGCCGGCGGAGCTCGCGAAATTTAAGATCCCAGCCACAACAATAATAAACGCCGAGTGCAGTATTTTCTCCTCTCTTGGGTGGCGGCGGCGTGTGTTTGCAGGAAGCATCATATTAATAACTGCACACACACTAAAGTCGAGTCTCGTATCGCGATATAAATTAAAATGTCTGCAGAGCCTTTGCAATACGAGTACAATATACAGTGACGTAAACGCCTGGGCGTGTATTTATGTGTGTTTTGTGCGTGCGGGCGGACGCGATTGTTGTACGTGTGAGCGCGTCGCGAGTGTGAGTTCTCGCCGTTCCATTCAAAAAACTACTCGAATAGAGAATTCGCCGCTCCCTCGTTGACGCCTGTTGTGGCCAGAGGCCGTCTCGACATTTATTGCAGTTATATTATATAGGTACCGTCGAAAGTTATAACCCTTTATATAAGTACCAGAGTGAAAAAAAAAATGCCAGTGTGAAAACCTCGTATTACAAAGTATGCACATCTCCTGTTTCCTCTTTAATAATGCTGCAGTTATTCAAAATCAGTTTTTTGGAATTTTCAAATATACTTAAATATCGTATTATTTTAAAATTCCTAAGATATTTTTGAACAAACTCGAAGAGATATAAATACTTCTGTCTTTCGAACGGCAACCCGATCCTCTTTTCTACTGTAAATTGTGTTTTCTAAAAATGTTTACAAATCAAAATCAAAATTCGAGAGAGTAGTTTTTGATATTCTTATTATAAATATGTTTAATTGTAATAATACTCGATCGCATTTTGAATTAGGCACGTCAGTGTTTTAACAAAAAAATTATCAGTAAAAAAGAGGGTGCTCGTCTGAAAAACAGAAGTTTGTATTGTCACACGACACAAGAAGTATCATGAACTTGAATTTAATATGCAGGTCTTTAAATACCTGTGTTGAAAAATTCCAAAAATAAGAATTTGAATAAATTATAAAATGAAAAAATTGGGGTGAGCATGCTTAGTGAATCACTGATCGCTCTGTATAATAGTATGACATAATTATTCGGGCCATATCTATACATTTTAATAATCCCGAATCCGTATTCGATTTTAGCCAATAGAGCTCAAAGTTTTATTTTTATTGTCTTTATTGTTATTATTGTACCCGCCTATACATATTGTAATATTATTCTAATATATTATTATTCTATATTGTATTTGGTGTACGGGATCTGAGCGTGAGTATAGGTGGCACCAAGGAAACCCGGAAGGCTTGTGCAATATTCTCTACCCAAAGCTATCCCATAAAATATATTAAACAACAAAGAGATTTTTTTACAATCCTTGGCGGATTCTCGTTATTTACGACGTTTATTAAACGGTAATATAACTATTGAAATCGGATATGCAGAACGACTACCCCTATTTATCTATGTTCTATATATATATCACAAGCGTATAGATATTAGATGGACGGGGGTGTATTAAATTACGGGGAGTTTTTATTTTTTTTTATTAACACTTGTTATTCGAATATATAAGGCTCTAAAAGTAAAAATGACATCGGCGACGTAATTCAATACACAGGTTATCGTCTGGAACAGTAAATAATATATAATATAAGGGTGTATATAGGTGTTGTACTTGTATAACTATTGTATGTATAGGTTATTTTTATACGGTTGATTATTATTAGTTTTTTTAACACTCCCGTCGGCAAGAAAATATCGAATTTCACACAGCAACAACTATATTAATATAATAAAAATAAATAGTGTACGAGTGAAATGTTCGACTTAATAATAAAGTTTATACTATAATATCTTATTCCGTTGGAATAATTCTAAACTAATCATTATAGTATTATACTATCGTGTTTATTGATTTATATATTTTTTTCCGGCGTCCGAAACGTCTATATCTTAACTGCTGTTTCCCATGCCAAATCGTAGTAATTCGTTATCGCGTATATCTAATATCTTTAAGTACGAATCGTATTTTTTTCGTGTCTATATAATATAAGCACTATATAGTGCGATTACTGTTGTAAGTGGGTTGTTCTATATGTTATAGAAAACACATTATTGGTAATTATTTGAGGCTATCACGTCCATTCCGTCGATATATATATATAACAGTATAACTTGTATATAATATGTTATACATTGATTTTTATTCAATCGTTGTATTATATAATATTATGTTGGTGGTATTACATTACATATTGTCATCTACTCGTATTCATATTATAGTCTATAAGCGACCACAGCTATAATGTTAAAAATGAATACCTAATAAGATAGCAAGCGATTCGTGTATAATTTAAAGAATTTTTTTCATTAAGACCGTACGCATTGCAGGCGGTCTTTATATAATGTATTAATGTAAAAAATATGATATACCTGCGACGAAGATCCGTCAGATTTGATGGCCGATTTGAATACTTTTACCGCTTCCTGGTGTTTTCCGATCGTTGCAAACATTCTGCCCAATCGAAGCACGCACGACCTTTGAGCGGTCACGTGTGACCTAATGTCTTTCACTCTGGAACCGTCGAGACAAAGGCACTTGTTCAACACCGCTTCCGCTTCGGTGTACCGATTAGTAGCTGCCAAACAATCGCCCAGACTCAGATACGCCACTGCAGCAAAAATATTTAAACGTAATTAATAATAAAATAAAATATGATTGCAATTATAATTACCAACTATATAATTGCAATCATGTACATTGTACATGTATTGATCTATATACGGGCGTTAACTGTTGTCGGTTAACCGAAAACAAAACGAAATATATTTTATCTACTATATAAAATTATAATTACACGCTAATGTAGGTCTGAAATTGATCGCCGACCTGTAGCTCAAAATTGCTTCGTCATAATTTTTGTTGTTCCTTAACAGATTTCCACTGCAACACAAAAGTAACATTTAAACGGTTTAAAATTGCAACCACTTTGAATTTTGTCTACATAAATGGTATATAATATGGTATATACTATATATAATATATAGTTACATGTAGGCATGTAGCAATTATAATATAGTGGGGACATTGTTGCACGTTAGACGATAATATGAAATGGAACTATTTTATTTTGTTTGCATACGCCCGACGCCGTGAATATGTCTACATAATAGTATTATATTATATTTTATTATATAATTCAGATAATATTATACCCTTATTTGCGTTGATGGCGGCGCCGGAAGTTTCGTTTAAATTTTTCGGTTTTGACTCGTAATCATTTATTTTATAAACGTTTTATATCGCGTGGATCGCTGCCGCAGTTACGTTGTCTAAGGGGGTTGGCAATTAATTATTTCAATTAATTTTCAGAAACATATTAGTCTTTGCACCGAGGGAATGTTACCATAAATTGTGTTAATAGTATACCCCCACCCGTCACCGTACACCCGCGGTGTTGGTGGGGTAGGCGAAAATAGGGGCCGTATGGCATCTCTCGAAAACGTGACAGGCAGTTTGTTTTGGACGAGTGGGGTAAAATAATAATGAAAAAAAAACACTCACGCGGGCATGAGAGAGAGAGAAACATATAGTTACAGAGACTAAAGTGAGAGGGAATGAGAGAGAGAGAGAGAGAGAGAGAGAGAGAGAGAGAGTGAAGTGTGCGGTTGTCTGTCGCTGACAGAGGAGCTTCTCTACTCATTTACTCTTTCTAGTGGTCGGCAGCGGATTCTCCAAGAGGCTACATACCATAATATACGTGGCACTATATATATAATAATAATATGTAGTGTGGTTTTCGACAAAAAAAAATATACATTTTTTCTTCTTTCCGTACCCTCACACGCCACACCACTGAAAACAAACGACGCTCCTGTCAACCGAACGAAGCCTGCACCGCCATCTCTTCCGAAGGATGATACTATATACAGCCACTACTCCTAACCATCAATATTATTAAATTATAACTGTATACCTTGGTGGATATATACGCACAAAGTACTACAAGTTTAAAGTATAATGTGTTTTCGCGGACATTACTATAGTCGTTTATATAATATTATATAGAAAGTGGAAATTATATTTTATCCTCCTCAAGTACTTGTGTATAATAATATGTGCACCCGTTTTTCTCGAGTGGGGTTAGGTATAGATGTATACGTTTATAAACGATATTATACGGTGGATGTGGCCCACGTCACTAATATTATAATATAAGAGCTTCAAGATTCACAGATTACTCTGCGTGTTAAGAGTGTCAAAGAGACAAAACAGAAAATTTTAATGACATCATCATCATTGTCTTCATCGTTGTTGTAGTTATATTAAATATCGTAGAACGTATACACTATATGTATATTGTATATACTATTTACATATATATGTATATACTATATATATACATACAGGATGATTCACCAAGCATGCACACCCCCTTTTTTCATCGATAATTCAGTTATTCAAAATCTGTTTTTTTGAATTTTGAATTATTATACTTTAAGACCATATTTTCAAATTCTTGAGATATATTTTGTACTAATATTTAGGAGGGTCCAGTGGAGATACAACCTTCTGTTTTTCAAATGAAAATATCCCTATTCGACTATAAATTGTACAGTAGATATTTTTTCTGAAATTGTTGACGCATCAACATTTAAATTTGTACGAGTCATTTTTGAGTTGAACTTTATGTTCTAAGGATAAAAAGTCCACATGGCAATAGGCTTATAAGCTAACGGGGCTATGGTGATTTAAAAATTGTAGTTATTAATATTAATAATTTGTAAAAATGTTCCAAGTGTAATAAATAGGTACTAAATCTATATAATATTATAATATGTTTATTTTATATTTATGTAAAACCATTTTTAAGGACTATTATCCTTAATACAAACATTAAATTAAACTACTCATTCGAATTTTGAATAAGATACATCAAAATGTTCAAAAAATGTGTCCACTAGACTATTTACAGTAAAAAAGTTCGTTAATTTGAAAATAATATTATGGTCTTTCTTCTTTGAGTAGATATTCTTAAAATTTCCAAAAATTTGAATTAGAATAAATTCATTATTAAAGGAAAAAAAGGGTGGTGACCATGCTCTGTGAATCACCTGTACATAGATTATGGATACGTAATATATGTATTGAGCTTTTCGACATAACATTATAAGACGTTAAACTGTGCCGTATAACAAATCAACAAGAATTATTATGAAAATGGTCCAAGACGATCTATATGAATATAATTCGAAATCTGTTGCGAATTGTTGCATGACGTGCGTATAACTCGAATGGACAGGAGACAGATCCTGCAACTCTGGATATAGATAGGACACAGTATAGGACCTAGGATACATTATTGGGTCTGAAAATTCGATATCCACGTGCAGGCTTAGTCGTTTAATCGCGTCGACCGTAATACTTTTATTTAACGTCGCTCGATATCGCAGCGAGTTGTATATAATAAGCTACCTCCCTATAACGGTATTATTACTTAACAAGCGTGACGTATAATAGAGATATATCGTCTTAATTTCGGTATACAAGCCGACGCCGTATTAGTGTTTCTATTAAACGAGCGAAATCACGCGGTATATTAGCTGCACCTAAATAACAGCAAGTTGCTTATAGTTACGACCGCCGTACGGGCTTTATTAATCGGTGCACATAAAGACATCCAATTTTCGCTTAGAAAAAAACAACCAACGCCTTTCATTAAGGACATTATTTAAGGAGCTTATACATTTTATATACAATAGTAAATACTTGTATATATATATATATGGTTTTATGTTACGGTAATACGATACAATATATAATTATATACGTACATTATACAGACACATTGTGCACACAATTTGTTTTCGTAAAAGACAGAATATACCTATATATTATATACATATTAAATATAGCTATAATAATAGGTATCCACGGGGTCAAATTTTAATTCTTCACGGCTTAAGGTGTTTATTAATAAGTTTCAGCCGACACGACGTTAAGTCCACCAAGGTAAATCTATTGGCTCTTATATTATAATTAAGTATTTTTTTTTAACTATTAATTTTTTAATTAATTTCTACTTAATAAATAATAAAAAGAACCAAGCTGAACGAAACACGCCCAATTTTCACAAGTGAATATTATAGTGTAGGAAAATAACCATTAAATAATGATCGCGGTGTGCTTACACAAACGTGCGTGACATCTAACTACCACGTGTCTATAAGAGGGTATTATAGAGACTAGGTGGAGACGTGTAGTCGGTGCGCAGGTTTGCAGGACACCTTCCAGTGTGAGATACCTACGCCATATGCACATTATTTCACCGTGTTCTGCAGTTAACGATAGCCGTAATTTTCGTGGGAGAAAAAGAAAACCGTACACCTCTCCAGGGAAATAAATCCTCTAGATGCAAATCATAATTGCTCGGTGACAATCCGCATAGCACCGCAGTCACATGCGCACGCAAAAATACATCGGAAAAAAAATTATTATGTAATTTATATACGCGAGCGTTTCATCGGTCGGGTTTGGTTAGGCCGTTTTTTTGGGGGGGTGTTATGAAATTGCAATTACAGTCGACTTACGAGCTTTTCTACACCACGACTCCCTCTACCCCACCGTCACCCACACTCACGTCTTTCCACCCGGGGAAGTTCGAAGCTGTGCACGTGACACGTACACGTGCAATTTATACGTGTTACCAGCTAGACTGTTAGCTAGACTGTCGACGGATAAGTTTCTGCCTTAGGAAATTAATTTTCGCCATTTTTTTTCTGTCGTAACTAACTTCATGTGCAATTTGGGCGTACGTCGCGGGCCAAACTTTTTTGTTCGTTCAACGATAGTTCTAGAAACGGTGGCTATTTATTTTGTACACTATCAAAAACCCTTTCAAATATGATTTTCGTCCCGTAAAATATTATATTCAAAGAGAAAACTTCTTCTTAAAAGGTCTAAAAACACATTGACATGCAAATTTCATGAATTCGCGGCGTATAATGTAATTATATGGAAAATAACTTATGTATATTGTCCTAAGAATTATATAGAGCAAACGGTTAAAACAAAACACAAACGATACGCACAATACAAATGTACTATGTATACTCGTCTTTAAGTTATTTCTACATTTTATTTATCTAAATTATAAACTATAAAATTTATATTGTAATCATTAATCGACGTAGACGGTTCTCTACGAATAAATAACTTTGTACTGAATTCATTGTTTAAATATTCAATCGACCTTTTAACGTTATAAAAAAAACATCAAAGTGCAAATTATTTGTTTATGTATTAATATATACTCTATAGGATATCAATAAAATGTAATATGTATATGTAACAACAATTTAATAACTCATTCATGTATATATATATTATAACAATACACGTGCATATATTTATAAAATTAATCGCTGAAGAGCTGTATAGGTAATGGTTAATAAAAATATGTAATATTTAAAGTAAAACCAAATTTGAAAAAAAAAGGTAGGTATACGATATTTTATCAATACTTAACAATAGAAACTCAACGGCTTAACGTGACTCACTGTATTTTATAAAGGTAATAGAAAAGCATCTTGTATTACGTTTCAAAAATATATCCCCGTCTCAAACGAGTTTCAAGTAATAAGTATTATTTACTAGATTCCAATATAAAAGTTTTATTACTGGTGGATAAAAATATAGTTCAAACTATTTATGTATAGTTATTTCGATTAAAATTTCAATACAAGCCCTTGGGATACTGAACAGTAGAATAAGTTTTATTTATTAACTTTAAAATGTATTATATATAGCTTACAGTTTTATTTTTTATCAAGTTTTATAGAAATTTTGCATTAAACGCGTTTATAATATTATACATAATATAATGCTTTATGATTATCGTTTTAACGAACATATTGTGTTCAAATTCTATAAACTATAATTAT